TATATATATATATATATATATATATATATATATATTGTATCGGCCTAACTGAGTATTGAACTCGTCCCTGACCAAGTTGTCTAGCTCGATCAAGAGTTTACCAACTTGGCCAAGTAGTGAACTTGTTATTGCTGAGTTACTAAGCTCGGTCAAGAAACGAGGACATTGAAATATTACATCGGTCTGTAAAGGCCACGTCATTCACCAACTACTATTAGAAAGATAAAGATATGATCTTATCACTACGCCACAATTACCATGAAACCCTAGAATTATTAATGTGCCGGTAAATAAAGATAACCCTAAAATCATCAAGGTAGGCATGTTATATATATATATATATAATTAATCACCTATGCACTGCCAGTGTAAAGTTTTTTTATACGGGCAACCAATTAGATTTTTTAATTGTGTTATGTCACTGTTAAAAGTAAATATGTTTATAGTTAGGGGTGGGTATATGGACCTGAGTCCGCGGACCGGTCCGTAAGTCCGCGGACTTCACGGATAATGGACCCATTTTTTTTTAATCCGTATAATCATACAGACTTTTTAGGTCCGGCCCGTTTAGTCCGCGGATTTTGCGGATTTAATCCGTGAGCCCGCGGATTACCCGTTTAAATGTGGACTCAAATTTTATTATTGAAGATGCTTGATTATATTTGATAGATGTAATTGGACTTACAAATATTTTATGTTTGTTTTTAAGATATTAATTAAGACTTTGATGTTTTAAGGTATTTAGACTTTGATGTACTTGGACTTACAAATGTTTTATATTTGTTTGGTTGTGTATTAAGACTTTTAAAGTTTTAAGGTAGTAAGGCTTTAATATTTGATTAATAGTTGGTATGCTTGGACTTTAAATTTTAAAGGCATTGAGACTTAAATATTTCTATTAGAAATTTAAAATGTGTAAACTTTGTTATTTAAGACTTTGATTTATTATTTACAATGTTTGATGTTATTATTAGAAGTATATTTATATCATTTTATATGTTTTTTTTCCTCATGTTTTCATAGGTTAAATAAAGGAAAAGAAATTTAAAATATGAGTTAATATTCATTTAAACAATTTATATTTAATTGGGCCCGTGGACTTATCCGTTTATCCGCGGGCTTCACGGGCCGGATACGGACTTGAAGATTTAAGTCCATTTATTTCGCGGACCGGATTTATCCGGCCCGTTAAAAATGCGGACTTCGCGGACCGGGCCTTAAACGGGCCGGACCGGTCCGCATACCCACCCCTATTTATAGTGACATGACACAATTAAAATATTTAATTGGTTGTCAGTGTAAAAAAACTTTATACTAGCAGTGTATAGGTGATTAACTCATATATATAAGATATCTACACTATCAAAAACTAACTTAAGCATCAGAGTCTTTTTTGTAGGTATCATCCCATCTTAGAGTGATCAACTTGTGAAGGAGAGGAGACTCGCCAATCTCATCAGGGAGGTCTTTCCTAGACCAATCTCAGGTGAGAACATATGTATATATTTTACTTGAAAGAATTCCTCATACTAATCTAAAATGTAATATAGTAACTGTTGATATTTTGACAAAAATGATCGCTTCAAGTATCCAGAGTCTAATACTAAAGGAAAGGGTCAAAATATCTACAAAACAAAATATCCGATTTATCAAAACCAATTTATATTTACACCTATCAGATTTCTGTAAATCCATTTTAATCGATTATGTCCAAACCAAATTTAATGGATAATTATTATATCCAAATCAATTTTAATGACTGAACATATATCCGTATCAGTTTTAGGGATATATGAATATGAAAAGAAGATGTGGGTGGGGTCAAAATCATCCTTGATGGATCATAGAATTTAGAAGGGAAACTTATTTAGTTCTACATGCAAAGTGAAGTGTGTAAAAATAGAAGATTGTTATTGATCATGTGTGTGGTGACTTTATAGAAGAGATTGATAACACTGATTAATATCTTAACAATTATCCTATTTTTAGTGGAGCAAAATTATGATACCATGTTTCTTTAATATTATTTGTATATTATTATTATTATTTTCTTAATATCGATTTACCTAAGATTTAATTACTGTTTAATCATTGAATTCTGATCTGACCGGTTGAATTTCAAAAAATATTAATTAGTTCAAATATCTTTTTAATTATTTTAATATTGATCAAATTTATTTTTATCATTCAAATTTAAATATTTATTTTTTAGTTTTTTTATCACTTTTAATTTTTATCAAGTATTAAATAAGCACAATTTTTTTTATCGTAAATAATAGGCACAAATTAAGAATTAAAAGTGGACTGTTTTCAAATTAATATTTTAATATGTACTATTCATACGAAATATTTTTATTTTATATAATTAATTTTTTAATAAATAAATATTTTTAATATATAATTAATCTTATAATTAAAATTTTTATTAATTAAATATTTTTATCACATAAAATAATTTTAATTTATGAAAAATAATCTATATTATTTACATAACTAATTATTTAATAAATAGATATTTTAAATATATAAA